TTAGCAAGCCACAATAATCTAGTTTACATCCAATTACATGGATTTGTTTTCATTGTGTTTATTTTGATGGTTGCCATTCACAGAGGGCCATTAAGCTGGTGCTGCATTGATATACAATGACATAATGTTTCTTTTAAAAAATATGTTTAAGCAAAATAATAGTAATAATGAGTCAACTTTCATGAAAAAACAAAACAAAAACGTAACCAATGTTACAGGTGGTATTTAGTTATGGCAAAGTACGTGAGGGTGGAGTCTGTGAAAAACTGCTCAAATGGGAAAAGGTAGGGATTATAGGGAGGCGAGAGAACCAGCCCTGGCCTGTCCCAATCTCCCAAACAGTGCTTGCTCCAAATATTCTTTGGAAAGAACTATGAGACATTTAGGGTAAGGAGTGCTCCCGAGAATAAGGAGCAAAGCTGATTAGAAACAGAAGGCTTGCATTTACTTTATGGTCGACATTGTGTTTATGTGCGCCAGGCCCCGTTCTAGGCTCTGAGCCTATACCAGTGTGCAAAATGGTCATCCCAGGGCAGTTGGTGACCAGACTTTAAAGTCTTGGCTAAATTTCTCCACTTTAAAATCTGTCAATTGATGGAGGATATTCTATGATTCAAGCCTCCCCAGCAGCTGGTCTTTCTGGAATGGCACTTTGGGGGTTCCGGTGCTCAGGAAAGGATGTAAAAGATGGGGTAGAGGGAAGGGATTGGGGACGGACATTGGTTATCAACTAGGGCACTGGAAGGAAAGGACTGGTGTGTGCCAGTCATTAAAAAGGGCACTCTCACAGAGCCCTTTACATTAGTCTGCTTTTTCCGCGGGCGTGGGGCTAAGCCAGGGCATACAAAAGGAGGGGGCAGGAGAATGAATGGCAAAGGTAGCCAAGTAATCTGTGACAGAGATGAGGCTGTCTGTCTGCTTCTCTCAAGGCTCAGAAACCCGCAGAGCAGTTCTACTTTGTCCTATAGCGTTGCTCTGATGGCAGTGAGTTTGGGGGGAAGTGACTGAATGAAAGGCTGGATGTTGCTCCCGATTTCTTAATAGAGCATCATTGGGTTCCATCCTTAGCAGCTAAACGTCTGAGAGAGATGGAGGTGAATGAGGAGTCAGGGGAGGATTATTTTTAGAGATATATATACTCACGCAATCAACACTGTAGATTTGATCTATGTGTGGTCTAATGTCATAGTTAGTAGCCCTATGTGGCTATCTTTGCATGTTGGCTAGTTCAAATTGAGATGTGCTGTAAAGAGAAAGCACACTGCAGAATTTAAGGACTTGTACGAGAAACCCAAACACCCAACTCACTGCGATCAAGTCAACCCTGCCTCCTAGTCACCCTGTGGGACAGAGTTGAACAGCCCCTTTGAGTTTCCGAGACTCAATCTTTATGGGAGCAGACAACTTCATCATCTCCATGGAGTGACTGGAGGGTTCAAACCCTTGACCTTGGGGTTAGCAGCAGTGCTAACCCAGTAAGCCAGCAGGACGCCTTAGTATGAGAAAAGAGATGCTAAATCACTCATGAATGTTTTAAAATATTTATTGCACCTTAAAATGATACTTTTCTGTTGTCATGACAGAAAAGTGGGTGAAGGAAGATGTCGGACAGTGTAAGATATGACAAAATAATAATAATTTATAAATTATCAAGGGTTCATGAGGGAAGTGGGGAGCGGGGAGGGAGGGAAAAATTGAGGAGCTGATACCAGGGCTCAAGTAGAAAGAAACTGTTTTGAGAATGATGATGGCAACAAATGTACAAAAGTGCTTGACACAATGGATGGATGTATGGATAGTGATAAGAGTTGTACGAGCCCCCAATAAAATGATTAATAAAAAAACAAAACAACAACAAAAAAGAAAAAAACGGTACTTTGGGGATTACACATAAAAATGATAGCATTTGAATCTACTGAGTTAAAGTGTAGTATTAAAAAGAATTTTGTCCTATCCTTTTTTTTTAACAGAAAATTGCAGATTACACATGTGGCTTGCATTTTTGGTTTGCGTTAGATTTCTGTCGGACAGCACGGAGCTAGGACGGTTCCTCCTCCTTCATACTTAATATCATGCTTCAATCTGTGATCATTGGACACATGACAGGGCGAGACACCAGGGTGTGTGGAGGTGAAGGGACTGGAGCCTAGCTCACTGATGGCTCTTCTGACTTCCTGCAGGTCTGCTCTACACAGAGCTCTGAGAGATGCCCAGGGGCCAAGTCCTGCCTGCTTCGCCCTTCTGCCCAAACACCCATGGTGTGCGCCCGCTGTCTGCCACAAGGAGCCTGACTTCCCCACAAGCCAACTGGCCTTTCTTGCCAGTCTCCCACAGTCCCCCCAAACACTCTGCCCTCTGGCGACAGTGGACTTACATTCTAGTCTCCAACCTCAGGTTCCCACTTCTGTGCCCTTGTTTTTGGCTGGTTCCTTTGAATGGGGTGCCCTTGCTATCCCTTCAACTTTGTAAACTTCCAACCTCCAACTTCAAGTCTGATTCCTGGGGAGCTCCCCTCCTAGGGCCACCACCAGTCCTCTATTTTCTCTTCATTTTGAACAAAAGTTCAGCCTCCTTCTTGACCATGGTACACACAGACATTTGTAAAAAAAAAAAAAAAAGACCAAAGCCCATTCATTGCATGTTTCCAACTCTTCTTTCTTTGCTTCCACTTTCTTCTCCTCAGCTGGGGCAGTGGAGGAGAGGGCAGGCCCCCCACCTCCATTGCAGATGAGGGTCCTGATGTTGACATTGGCCAGGGCTTTCATGAAGAAGGCAGGCCAGAAGAGTTCAACATTCAGTGTGTCTGCCTTCATGAGGGTGCTGACCTTGTCTCGTGAAATGGTCACTTTATAGTAGTGCAGGATCAAGTTCCCCGTAGAAGCACGTGACTTCAGTCGGTGGCCACAGTTGGAGCGTGCTGGGCTGGTGGCTTCCTGCACAGTGCTAGTCCTTAGATGAAGGGAGGGCCCCACCCCCACCCCCACCCCAACTCAGCTTTAGCTTCCCCTGAAGAACTGAGCACCTCATCTTCCGCTGCGTGGGGGACTGCTTCATGGTCCATCTCTCGTGGTGTGGATCTGCTGGTGTTAGGACCCAGGGAGATGGGTGATGGGTGGTCATGTAGATGACACAAGCTTCTTTGCTAAAAGTGATGAAGGCTTGAAGCCCTTGCTGATGAAGAGCCAGGGTTGCAGCCTTCAGTATGGATGACAACGCAATGTAAGGAAGACCCAAATCCTCACCACTAGGACCAGTAGGTAACATCATGATCAATGGAGAAAAGGTTGAAGTTGTCAAAGACTTTGTCTTACCTGGATCCACAATCCATGCTCATGGAAGCAGCAGTCAAGAGGTCAAAAGACACATTGCATTGGGTGACTCTGCTGCAGGAAGTCTCTTAAGAGCATTGAAAAGCAAGAATGTTACTTTGAGGACTAAGGTGTTTCTGACCCACGTTGTGGTATTTTCAATTGCCTTCTTCTTTTTTTCCCCTTTCAATTGCCTTCTATGCACGTGAAAGTTGAACTTTAAACGAGGAATCAATGCCTTTGAATTGTGGGGCTGGAGAAAACGGTTCAAAGCATCCTGGGCAGCCAAAAGGACAAAGATCTGTCTCAGAAGTATGGCCAGAGCGCTCCTTAGAGGCAAGGCTGGAGAGACTTCATCTTAAGCACTTTGGACATGCTACAGGAGACACTAGTCCCTGGAGAAGGACGTCATGCTTGGTAAAGTAGAGGGCCAGCCAAAAAGAGGTAGGCCCTGGACCCAGTGGACTGACACCTTGGCTGCAAAGATGGGCTCAAGCATAGCGACCATTGTTAGATGGCTCAAGACCAGGCAGCGTTGCGGTCAGCTCTGTGGGCATAGGGGCGCCATGGGTCCGAACCAACTCGATGGCACCGAACAGCTGCCTGGCATAAGGGCGGAGGACCGAAAGTGGTAAAGCTCCACCACTCCATCTCAGGAAGAACAAAGACGGGGTTTTGTTCATCTGTAGCAAGGAAGAGAGCAGTAAATGAACGTACCCGGGATTGGCACGCCAGGACTGCTGACTCCTTCCAGCGACTCTCTAGCGACACATGTTTCTAGATTGGAAGCTGGGGCCCCAGATCCCTAGGAGATTCTTGGGAGAGAGTGAGGATGGAAGTCGGAAATGGGGGACAAGAACGGCCAGATTTGAGGAGCTGGTTATCTCTCAGACGTTGTGCGGGGACTGAAATCTACCTGAAGGTTTTATTTGCTTGGGAGCCTGCCTATACTCCACCCCCATCCCATTCCCGCAGCCCAGCACC